TCAAATTTGTCTAGTATTAGAAATAAAGTGATGTAAGCAGAAAATGAATGGATATAGATCTTGAGCAAGAATAAGTCTAAAATTTTAAAGCATTATGTAGCAAAGCCGCACACATGTATTATACTAGTTATGGAACAAACATGGTATTAATCAATTATGACAGGGTTTTGATAGTTTTTGATAGGATCTGTTTTGAGAAGGTCTAATTTTAAACCCTAGCTGTGATATAAAATTTTCATATAAAGATTTGTATTGGGGATTTAAAGAGAGAGGTTGTGCACACCAATTTTGTTTATGTTCAATTAACTTAATGTGATTATCATGCAATTGAAGAATGATAGGACTTTTGCAAAAACCAGGTTCTTGATTAAGTGGCATGAAGGAATAGCTTTCAGCAACCAATACTATGACTGGTACATTGAATGTGTCTGATGCTAGCTGCGCACATTCTGGCGAATAAAACCAGTATTTTGGTAAAGCAATTCCCGAATTCGTATAAGATAAAACTTCATCTAGTCGACTAACATCATATCCTAATTTTTTGTTATAAAGATCATGTTGCTCATTCAAATGAGACTTCATATTAGTCTTAATTTTTCGCCAACTTTCTTCATCTCCAAAAATTGCTATGGCTAATGATCGAAACCCACAATTCCCAGCATTTTTTGGATTATGGATCTTTAATATTACATTTTGAGGAACACATAGATCAATATTTGTATTATTTGTACTAGACAGATGTGATATTTTATTATTTTTGTCCAATTTTTGCATAACTTTAGTCTTTTTCGAACACACTGCATTGTCTTCATTTTTTTCAGCTTCATGAATATGTTTGTTATTAGGAGGCTGGCCACAGAGCCCATCATTATGAAGCTTCTCAAGACGTTTTGATCGAATTTGTGTGCAACTATACTAAATTTAGTAGTGTCTAAACAAACGTCGTGTTATGTTTTAGGTAAGATTTTGTTATTACAAATTTCTTGCTGCATTTATGATAATTCACACCAACAACAAAAGGACAACCGGTGCGTTTAGTGGTATATTGTTTTTTTCCACCATATTTTCCCTGGTTTTCGCAGAAAAAATATGCTTGCCTATAACCACTGCCGTCTGGATATTTTGTCGTTTTTCCTAAAATCAAATTTGTGCTAGTTTCTGCAGCATATCCTTTGATAGCAGCACAAACTTTATCAAACGTATTGAAAGTACATCCTTTTAGAACATTAACTTCCATAATGAATTTGTAATGGCAATCTGAAAACAAACCGAAGCAATATGAAAAATGGAAGATTTTTCTTAAAAAAAAAAAAATCAAATGACGAAAAAAAATGAAGCACACCAAAAAGAAAAAAATGAAGCGATATGAAAAAGGATATGAAAAAAAGCAACCTGAAAATCCAAAATGAAAAAATATAAAAAAAAAATAAAAGACTGAAGCGATCTAAAGAAAAACGATATAAAAAAAGAAGCAATCTAAAAAATAGAGCTCTAAGAAAAAATGAATCTATCTGTAGAAGATTAAGGATTTTGAAAAAAGCGACCTGAAAAAAAACTTGAAAAAAGAGCTGAAAAGAAAACTATCTATATAAAAGTTATTTACACATGAACCAATTCAAAATTTTGGTTTATATGATGTTACAGAAGATAGATTTAGAGTGTTCTCAAGCATCTCTCTCAGTGTAATTAGCTATCTATAGAGATCGTGCACAAGTACTACGATTAATTGAAGTAAACCTTACGGCAATTTTTGTCGAAAATTCACGTTGATATTAAATTTTAGCCAATCAGCACAATTCTATGATAAAAAAAGATGGTCTATGACCATCTTTTTTTTTCATCGTCGTTTGATCGAATAATTTATTTTCCACTAATTAAAAATTGAACTCAGACCTATTGATTTAGATTCTTGAGAGCACCCTTAATTAGTATTTTTTCCTTAGCGCCCCTTATCGTTATACATGATTTGTGCAGGTAACATCACAGCTTCTACGTACGTACGTACGTACGTACCGATACGTACGTACTACGATACATTAATAACGTTAATGTTAATCGACTTCGGAAAATATATCCAAAAAAATTTTTTTGGTATCCTAATTTTGTACACTTCCCTTTGTTCAACTATTAACACCTACCAAAGTTGCTTATTACTATTTTGATTTTAACGATAATATTTGAATGTCGCCAAATGTAGAGCTTGGAATCGATGAGTTTCGAACATTGATTTGTCACAAACCGAGCATCGGTAAAGAATTTTAAAAATACATAAAAGAATTTATTATAACATTAAATTTATCGATTGTACAATACATTACTTAATCAATTTACATGACTTATAATTCGTTAATTGATATCATAATTAATCCTAAATACAGTATTTATATTACGTTTAAGAAATACCATTATTTCAAATAACTTTGGATTAATAATGTTCTCTTCGCACTCATAACATTTCCTGCATCCGAAAACAAGCGTTCACTTGGTATGATTGTTGCAGGGATCGCAAGAAATTTATAATATGAAATAGTCACTTCGCAGTTTTTCACATAGCAATTACAATGCACGATCTGGAATCAAAGTGTGCCAAACTCAGGATCGTTTTTTAGAACTATTATAACAGTCTTCTCTATATTGAATTTTGGTTCTTTGCAAACCAAAATATTAATGCAATTAGATTCTCCCTTTTCATGATTTAAATTTCATGTTTTTGTCAATTTGAAAAATCTATTAAACAGAATTCATCGTTATGAAACTGTTATTTATTAATCAATAAAAATTTATCACTATCAAACAGTTAAATTTTAATTTTCGACTGGTGCTCGATGATTGAATGAATAAAAACTCAGTGAATGAAGTTTATTTCGATGCTCGAATAATTATTCATCGATTCCACACTCTATGTGTGTAACGACTATTTCAAGAACGATTCTGAATTTAGCGTTTAACAAAGTTAAACAATTATCGAATTACTGAATTAGCCTCAATAAGTTTCTGATTATCAAATATGGACATTTTGGTTACGACTTCCATTGGGGTGTCAAATTACAAACATAATGCAGGTCATATAGTGGTGATCACTAATTAAGATTTTTTATAGTGTACTGGATAATTTAATAGGAGAAACATAGAAAGTTCAAGCCGCAATAACTCTTGAACCAGCAAACCCACACAAATAAAATTATATTTGTCGGGTTTGTCATAATGTGCTCTTCAACGTGAAAACGATCTTTTTTTTTATTTTTATTGCCTGGAGTGTAGCAAGGGGAATAATGTAATACAAAAATTCTCGTTTTTGATTTATTATTAATAAAAATATCAAAAACGTAGCTATTGTATATTGTGTCACAATGTGCGCAGAAAAATTCTAAGTTACGTTTTTGATATTTTTATTAATAATAAATCAAAAACGAGAATTTTGTATTACATTATTCCCCTTGCTACACTCCAGGCAATAAAAATAAAAATAAAAAAAGTGTGTTGTCACGTTAAAGAGCACATTATGAAAAACCCGATAAATATAATTTTATTTGTGTAGGTTTGCTGGTTCAAGAGTTATTGCGGCTTGAACTTTCTATGTTTCTACTATTAAATTATCCAGTACACTATAAAAAATCTTAATTAGTGATCACCTGCACTATGTTTGTAATTAGACCGATGATTGACCCATGCATATTGATATCTAAAAATTCTATTTCTCTTGGCGTTAGGCAAATCACACCGATCCTAATTTGATTAAAATTCCGGTGCCCATGAATTTTTAAGAAATGTTTCGCATACGTAGCTCTTTTTCTTGTTATATGTTTATATTAGGAAAATAGTTCCGCACGTACATACGTACGTACGTACGTGCGTAATTTCCAACACATGCATAATTCCATAATTCCACTTGCAAGACAAAACGAGTGGTACATATTATATATACGCTGTTTATGAACTAGAGCTTGGATCCTGTCTATCTTTACTCTGTATGTAACGGTAAATAATGAATAATTGTCTAAAATTCCTTTATAACGTAATATCATCTCGATTACTATTATACTTCATATAATCATAGTTTATACAAATAATGATGTTTACTGTGTATATTTCCCTGCCATGGGAATATTCAATGCAGTTATATTTTCTAATACTAGAAGTTTTAAATTTGC